CTTATCACGAATCATTTGGTTCAGATCGGAACTTCAATGCGTGTATTGCAAATAATTTGATTCAGATCGGATCTTTGGAGCGCTTATTGTGAATCATTTGATTCAGATCGGAACTACAGAGCAGTTATTGCGAATAATTTGGTTCAGATCGGAACTTCGGAGCGTTAATCTTTGATCTTGTATATCTTTTCTATATATATATATACTGTATATATATACACACACACAAACTCACAATTCTGACTTTTATCCCACAATTTTGAATGTAATTCTATTATATATATATATATATATTTTTTTTTTTTTAAAAAGCCAGAGTTTATAAATACATATATACTTTTTTTTTTATCTCAAAAAGGTGAATTTTCACCAAAAGGTGAGGAGTTTGCATTGATGCAACAGCGACACACACACACACACACACACACACACATACACACACACACACACACACACACACACAGCACATCACTGGCAGCCAGTGTAAGCAGCCACTGACAGTCAGATAATCTTCATGAACTGAGACCTACAGCCCATCCATCTCTCCTCATCTGTAGATGGCGACTGGAAAGAGGATTTCCACAGAGTGGAGGATTAAACAAACACACGCTCCTCTGACATCCAGCATCTGCGTGAAAACTGTCACTGTCGCTTACTCGGATAATCAAGCATTAATGTGTTAATACTTTAAAAAAAATACTTTAAAACCAGCAGACCAAAGAAATAACATGTGGTTTGCAGCTTTCATGAGAAAAAATGGCAAGTAGCTTATTAAATAATTCTGCTAAATGTACAAGAAAACTAATTATGAAAATAAATAAAATGTCATTAAATACTGCTGTTGATTGATGTTCGAAATTATGTTTTTTTAGCTGTATTGGTTGTATTTAGTGTAGACTTATGTTGTAGTTTGATGTTCTCACACTTCTTTAGCTTTACACCTCATTATTTACGTGCCAGATAATTAATGCTCTGATTTCTAATTATATGATTTATTATTAAATATGATTTATGCATTAAGTAGCTTCAATGTAGTTCATGACTGTTTCTAAATAATATATAATTCCTTCCATCCTTTTATGATATGAAATTGATGTAAACACAATCAGTTATGTTTTCAGAACAGCACAAAACAGATCTGTGCATTAGTGGGAATGCAGCCTATTGTCTGTGATCTCATCAGTAATAATAAAACAGAAATAATGCTGAGGAAAAAAGAAAAACCCATAACTATGATTGTCTGCAAACGCTCGGATACCGAAAGTACTTTTTGTTTATCACTTGTAATTGTCTTTTCCCCCTTCATTACTTTATATTTGCTTGCATGTTTTGAAGCTATATTTAGTTGGTTAAATTCTTAACAATTGTTTTGATTTATTATTAATTTGAAATTATTTAAAAAAGTAGCCTGCTTATATAATTTACTAAAAATGCATTTTGTAGCCATGTGCAGTAATATTGGAAACTGAATCGAATCGTTGACATGATACTCGTAAACGCATCGAATCGTGAAGCCAGTGAAGATTCACAGTCCTGTCACATAGTGATGTAGACATGTGGGGGCGTGTTAGAACGAGCCGTTTTAGGGGGGCGTGGCTGACTCTTACCTTTTATAAAGAATATCTCTTTGGATTTGAGACTTTAGTCTTTGCAACTTTACAGATCTTCTTTATGCACCAAGAGCTAGTAACACTCCAAAGAGAAAGGAAACATTGAAATCGCATCATATGACCCCTTTAAGAGAGACTACATAACTCGTACATAAATATGTAGCTTTTCAGTTTGCGAATATAATTTTAAATCCACTATTAATTAAATACAAGTTAAAATACGTGGCAGTTGATCTAAATGGTGCGAAGAATCGCTGTTATTAATTATATTTTAAGTAATCGCAACCCCACCCACCCCCCTCTCTCGGTAGTGGTACATTCCTGAGTCACGCTGAGCGGGAGGCGGGCCGAACCATTCCACCGGCGCTGAGGGGAGGCACACATTCTCATGCACTTCTCCATGTCTTTTCATTCATTGCGTGATAATATTTTTAATTCGAGTGTTTTCCGTCTTGTTTTTAAATCTGAGTGTTTATAGAGTGGCCTCTGGGGGAGTAGATATGCAGAAACACACACACACACACACACACACTCACACACACACACACACACACACACACACACTCACTCACTCACACTGTGATCCAAATTTTTACATTTTATTCTCCAAAAACGTATTTAAAACCTTAAAAGTAGACACTTTACTTGCATTTAATGTGCTTTCTATGGACATATAATCACTTTTGTAAATTTCTTTTGATGCGGACATCTTAACGACGTGTTTGACCCGCTTACAGTACCTTGAATGTAATGCAAGTCGTTTTCGGTAATGCATTTACCAGATGCATAAATGTAAATTTATGTCTTTTACTGTTAGGCAGCGCAGTGTTTAGTAGTAACTAGTATTGCGTTTTGAACACAGTCTCTGCTCTTCCAGAACTTTTCTCTTCCCCAAAGACATCGTCCCCTACTGGCCAAACAAAGAGAAGTACGGCCGACAAATCAAAAGAGGCGGGTTCGAGGAGGGCATGTGGGAGATCGAGAACGACCCGGGTGTGGGCCTCAGACGTCAAAAGGTCAGCGTTTATAATTAACGTTATTAGAGGTGTAACGGTACACAAAAGTCACAGTTCGGTATGTTTTCATTACAGCAAAGGAAAAAAACTTAGTTCTTTTTACATCTGTGGCTTTGTCTTTAAAGGAATAGTTCACCCAAAAATGAAAATCCAGTGTGTAGGTGAGTTTGTCTCTTCATCAGATTTGGAGAAATGTAGCGTTGCATCAGTGTCTCACTGCAAGTGAATGGGTGCCGTCAGAATGAGAGTCCAAAAAGCTGATAAAAACATCACAATAATCCACAGCACTCCAGTCCATCAGTGAACATCTGGAGAAGACAAAAGCTGAAACAAATCCAGCATTAAGACGCTTTTAACTAAAATACGAGTCTATAATCCATAATAACGCTTCCTCCAGTGAAAAAGTGTTCTGGTGTGAATCAGGAGAGAAATCTGCACAGATCAAGCAGCGTTTAAACAGCTCTAACTCAACTTTTTCACTGGAGGAAGCGTTATTATGCATTATGGACTCCATATTATGAATTTGGTTCTTACAAACGCACAGTTTTCCGCTTCATTAATTCGGTGTGTGTTCACGCCAACCTGAAAGATTAACAGCACCGGAGATTTCCGGTTCAAATACGTGTACAGTTACACCCCTAAGTGTTACAGCTTGTGTTGTCCGCTGTTATAAACCCACTGGAACATGAGTTTTGTGTTTGTGACAGAAAGCAGCGCTAGTGAAACGACTGTCAGAGAGTCGACTGAAACCGAGAGACAGGAAGAAGAAGAAAGCAGAAAACCAGACGGGATCCCGTACGGATTCAGCGCCGAAGAGGGAAACTCTTGTGAAACCCGGCAAAACAAAGTCTGAATCCGTGGCGCCGGCAGACGCTAAAACAACCGTAGCCAGGTCGACGCGCTCCAGAGATTCGGTGACAAAGACCGTCACACCAGAGGACAGACAGATGGATGAAGTCACGTCTGCGAGGAGTGTGACGTCGGTGGAGACGCTCGCAGCAGGAAGGAGGATTTTACCGTCCAGGACGATCATTTTAGCCAGACGTGCGGCAGCAGCAAAGACGCGCTCTGCTCGCAGGAAACACGCGCTGAACAGAAAGATAATTTCAACCAAGAAACCGATAGACGCTCGTAATCACCAGCAGGTTCGTGTGATGTGAGATTAACAACTCTTGACCTGGTTCACATTGGAACATGAGTTGTAGATTAAAGCAATAATCCCCAGAGCATATAAAGTGTAATGATATTACTAAAAACAGTATTCTTCCACCAAACAATGTAGCTCCTCAGAAACAGAGTTGCGACACTCCCTTAGGCTTCTATAGGAACTGAGATAATTACAGCAGTTTTTGACATTTTAACACATTAGTTTACCACTCGGAAATCTGGCCAGTTGTTGTATTTTATGAAACGCGTTATAGTTAATGTTTAGTTTTAGGTAATAGGCAGTTATGCTATATTTGCAGTGAGATAACGTTGAGAAGCACCTTAATAGCGATCATAACCCAATGATAGTTGTCATATTTTAAAGTTTTCAGTCTTTCTGCAATCTTTCTCTCGTTGTGGGAAGTTGAATGGGTTTTAGTGGAGACTGCCCATTAAAGCAATACAAGAAAGAGTTTCCCCGAATGCAGTTAAATTTAAATTAAAGGTTAAATTCTGTATTTGCTGGCCTGTTTTTAACATTCACTTATATTGTCTTCTCACATAAATGTCTTAAAATAATACTGGGATGTGAGCAATTAATCTTTTTAAATTCAACATAAAAAAAAGCATAACTTATAAACATTGAGTGTTTGATAATGTCTAAATATAAAATGCAGATCATAAAATAAATAAGCTATTATGACCGGTAAAACTCTTTACAGCAACTAGAGTAGAGCTAATAGGCTATATTTATTAAACAGCCATACGGGCATCTAGTGGCTAAACCATGGCATTACTTACATAGGAATATAATTTTTCTGGCCACCACACGCCTCTAATTTGCCTCACGTTTTCTCTATTTTAAACCTAAATACTACACTAATTGTAATATCAATAATAAGCATATTAGAAAAAATATTAATGCTAAGTCTCTTCATCACTCCCCAGAATAAAATGCGATTGTAAAACATAGTCAGCGTAGTTATCAATACACAATCAATGCACATATGATGTGTTAATAATCACTAGAAATTGCTGCAAATATAGTGAAACTGCTGTCTATCCTATTGAGAGCTCCATGAACCGTCAAAGCATATCGCAACTAAGTGGTTGCAGAGCAACTCACAAACGTAAACTAAGGTGTGTGTTACTTTGTAGAGTCATTTATAACAGCTTCGAACACGGCTCAGCCAATCAGAATCAAGCACCGGAACTCTCCGCTTCATAAGTTGTTTTGTGTTGTAATCCTTCAGCCCCTGAGGGTCACGCGCGCCTCTGCGGATCCGAGCCAGACCACAGACGAAACCACCACGGTAACTCCGGCCGCTCTGAGACGGAAACACTCGCCAACTGGTCGTGATGTGAAGGAAGACGCTCGTGTTCCTCGTCCTGTGACGAACAGCTCCAGCCCAGCAGGTGAACGCAAGTCTTTTACAGGAGCGTTGACGTCAAATCTGTTTAATAGGCATTAGGGATCATGCACCGAATGTTAACGGCCTTAAACAATTAGTAAATAAGCAGCAGAACCAGTGTTCAAAGTCCAAAGCGCGAGGAAAATCTGCGCTGACACAGTGTTACTCGTCAGCTGCATTGTAACGTTTTAATGAAGGCATGTGACGATGCGATTCGTAATGAGACTCATTTATAAATCTGCTGTTGTCGACAAAACGAAGCGCTGAGGTCTTCCTGCGGCCAAAATAAAAGCTGAGAAGAAGCAAGAACTCCGTCAACATTCATTGCTATTTAATTTATGCAATGGTGAAAACAATTGGCAAAAAACATGAGGGAAAAACTTTTCGGCTTTCTCGGCTTCGGCCAAGAATTTTTGTTTCGGTGCATCCCTAATAGGCTTTACTCGCTTTATTTTCGACAACTCGAGTTATTTATAGCACTACGGTAGATGTGCTTAAAAATTAACTAAATTATTAAATTCATATTCCTGCCTTATCTCGATTCTCCTGTTTTTTTTTGTTTTGTTTTTTTAATAAATCTGTTTTATCTTTTTCCCAAATTCTGTTTTTTTTTTGTTCTGTTGTAATTTTTCTGGATTCCATTTTATTGGTTAAATACATTTTTTATAATTAAAATGCCTAATCAATTGTAACCTTGAAACGTATACAATTTAACAACAATATATTAAAAGTTTAACAAAAAAAAATCATTTTTTAAGGGCCTTATGAGGGCCGTTTTATTTTTTTCCAAATTCTGTGATTTCTGTTTTATTGATTTTTTCTGGATTCTGTTTTAATGGTTAAATAAAAGTTTAATAATCAAAAAGCATGTCTAATCAGTTGAATTGATTGTTGGAATTGAACTGTTAAACTTATAACGGGAAATTTTTTTTGTGATTTTTTAAAGACTGAAAAATTTATTTTTTAAGTTTACATTTTAATAATTCCATTATATTTCCCATTTAAATTTTTAATTTTAATTCAGTTTTAATAGCTTAATTAAATCAAATGTCAATCAATTTTAATTAGTATTATTAATCAATTATATTATTTGTTTTTGAATTAAGTGTGTTTTACAGTAATAATTTATTTCTGCTGTAATTTCTTAAGATTAAACCGAACTTTTATTTTGGCGGTTTGCAGTGATGACGAGTAATATTGAGCAATAATATCATACTCGCTTTTCACCAATCAAATCAAGTCCTGCTTGCTATATTTCCTTCTCAAGTCACATTACAGAAGTGCAATTATAAAAGAGCTTCTTATCTGATCAGAGCTGCTGAATTTACAGGCTCAAAGAGGAAGCGGCTCACAGAGGAGCAGACGTCTGCACCAGAAGAGCCGAAGAAGAGCGAGGTCAAGGACATCATAAACACACAAGACAAGGACGAGCAGAATAAACCCAAACAGACGAACCGCGAAGCTCTGATTGTCTCTGAAAAGATCTGTAATATTTTCTACTGTCTCTTCTGCTCAGCAAGACTGCTTTTCATTTTACAGTAAAAATACATAACCGATTCAAGAAGGAGGTCTGATCGCCGAAAAAATATTATTTTACTAACTTACTAATTTTACGTTAAATTGTGCTTTGTTGGTATAATGTCTGCTAGAAATGTTCAGTGTTAAATATTTCTTAATTGTTGTTTTGTAATTGATTGTAAAAACAGTAAAAAGCACATTTTGGCTGTTTAATGTGTGCAATGGTGAAAAAAATTGTCAAAACACAATGGGGGAAAAAACTTGATAAACCGTGTTTGGTTTTGGCTTCGGCCAAGATTTTAATTTCGGTGCATCGCTAATGATATCACTTCTCGATTCGATTCTGTAGTATATGTAGTCTGTAGTCGCGGAATTTGTCAAAGTTTGGATGAATTAATCAAAAGTAGGTCAGTACACTGAAATCAGATGGCGATACGAATATTAAACCGCAAAAAATGTTTTCAGTAAAACTAGCGTCATATACACTCAGAAGCGTAACGGTATTCATGGCAACCCGTCAAAATAAAAGTTCGGTCAGAAATCTATTATTGTGCTGTAGAATGTACGTAATACTACTACTGCTAGTACTAATAAATTATTAAAACGTATTTCTTTATGGAATAATCACACAATATTTCTCCCATGTTTTAATTTTAGTAGTAAACCCCCTTTGTTTGCCAAAAATAAAGTTTGTTTTCGTTTGATAAAAAGATTAAATACATTACCGTTTTATGTCTTCATTTGATAACCAGAAAAATTCAAATACACAAAAAAAAATTAATAAATAAAAATTTTTTCATAGGGCTGTTGTAAAAATACATTTTAATGAGTTTTTATGCATTTAAATAATTAGACACTGAGTTTGGTAACAATAAAACCGAACGTGAGAAAAACATAAAACATATTTCATAAAGCCCTAAACATGTAGCTTTTTGTTAAACTTTTAATATATTGATTTTAAATTGTATAAGTTTCATGATTTTATTAATTAGACATGCTTTTTGATTAATATCATTTAATTTAATAATTAAAAAGGATTTTTTTTTAATAAAAAAAAAAACAGAATTTGGAAAAAAACAATAAAACGGATTTCATAATTATCATCATAGTCATCGTTATAGTTAACGTTAATGTTATATTTAATAATTGTAATGTAGGGCTGTCACGATTCCTCAATTTAGTTCGACTATTCGATTAAAAAAAATGCTAAACTGTCGAGTAACCAGCAAAACACAGAAAATACACCGAGAATACATCGTCGCGATTTCAAAATAAAAGCTCAAACCCTCGCTCTGAGTTTGCATGCTTTGATGTCCGCATATTCATGTCGTAAAGAAACGGCCAAATATGAAAGATTGAGTGGACATTTGAATTAAATGTTGTTTAGTAAATATTAAACAAGCATTAGATCGCGCAGTAAAGTGTAAAAACAATCGTCAGGCATGTGTTATAATGCGTTATTGCCTCATTGCTATTATATATGTATTTTAATGATTAATTAATCGTCAGAATTAGGGGTATCGGGCCCGATACTGGTCTCCTGTACTCGTACTCGTTAAAATGCCCCGATACCAAACGCCGATACCACACAGCATGTGATAAGCGCCATATTCAGACAAAGAAACACCAACAACAGACAGCAGAATGGAGTTATTAGAGATTAAGGATGTCTACTGTGAAGTATATGTATGCAATGAATATAACGTTAAACATTCAGTATTAACGCCTGTATAGCTGGTGTGCGCGAGCTGATAAACATCACGCTGAGTGGATTGAGCGCGCGGCGGCGCAGATGCGCGAGCTTGTCGAGGGAATATATCTTTCTCACAGACATCACTGGAAAGCTTGTAGTTCGGTCGGATGTGTCAAAAACAAGTAAAACAATGCACAAGTTACTTAACGGGAGAGAGAGAGAGAGAGAGAGAGCACACACTAACCGTGAGTGTGTGAGTGTGTGAGTGAGTGAGTGAGTGAGTGAGTGTAGAACTCT